CTTATTTAATCATATAGACAAGATATTTTGTTAGGAGAGAGAGTGGTGAACGAGAGGAACATGATTTCTGCTTCATGGAACTTTCAGTTAAGCGGAGAAAACAGACACTGATAAAGTAATTAAAGTATGAAATGTAATGGTTTCATTTATTTATCAAACATATTTATTAAGCAACTGTTATATGTAAGGCACTGTTCTAGACCCCTGGAACATCAGTAAAGAAAACAAAGACCTCTGCCCTTACGTCTTTTAGCAGGGGATGAAAACAAGTAATAAACATAGAAATACATAAATAATATGTATTTAGAAGGTGGTAAGTACCGTGGGAAAAGAAATTTTAAAAATGTATCAAAAGGAACAGTATATCGAAAGGCCTAGAGGCCAGAGAGAAATGGCAGATTGGAGAAACTGAAAGATTATTGGAGCTGAAATATTGACAACAAGGCTAGTGGCTCAAAATGAAGAGGAAGAGTTAGTCAAAACAGATTGTTAAGGACTTTATAAGCATTTTGAGGACTTTGAACTATATCCTAAAGAAACCCAAAGCTACTTAAGAATTTTAAACTATAGATTGACATGATCAGATTTGCACTTTAAATTTATTGTGCTGCCTGCAACCTAGAAAACACATTAAAGGCAAATGGTAGTGATGGAAGAGAATAATTAGGAGGCTTTTGTCCTAGTCCAAGTGAGAAATGGTGATGCCCTTAATAGCATGTGTTTCACAAATTAGAAAACGGTAGTCGTATTAAAATGGCTGTTATCTAGGCTTAGATTTTCAGTGCCTCATATTTAGAATAAATTGACACCTATCCATATTTATCTTCTGCCTACGTTCTTGTATTCTTTTTTCTCTGGCGAGATAGTATAGATGATGTAGGAGAAAACCACATGATCTGTTTATCACTCCACTATTAGACCTAGATCAAGGGTAACATACTAGTAAGCAGTGGGTTATTTGGCCCTCATGATTTTTTACGATATCTTGTTACATTCACACACATATTTTTAAAGGCGGTAAAACTAGACAGATGTTATGCTTGGTTGCTGCACAAGCAATTTAGTACTTAACCAGTTTCATGGGTATATGTTAAGATTATACCCCCTGTAATTATTTCTATTTTTAATTTCCAGCATAGATACTAATCCTACCCTAAGTGGTCAGTTCTTCCTTTAGCCTGGGTCTAGCTCAGGCCCTTTTAGTCCCAAAGATGCATACAGAAATGACATCCAGTCTTTAACTCCATTGCTTCAAGTCTTGCCATTTCCAAATGTAATAACAAAGGGAAAAAGAGACTTAATTTTCTTATCATCCATCCAAAAATTTCCCTTCTCATTCTTGAAGAAGTGAGAAAGGAAGAGAAGAGTACCAAGTACCACTTTTTGCCATATTGGAACATGGTTCCCTGTGGCCCAATTGAATGTCCTTGATTCTTGAGAAATCTGCCTTGCCTAAGGAAGCTGGGGTAGGTGGGATGGGGAAGTGGAGCTTAAGGACATGGCTTTTAACTGTGCCCATTGCAGTGTTTTATAATAGAAGTGTACTTTTTAAACATAGGTTTCCATCTTGTATTACTTTGTCTTGGAGTTTCTCCCTCATGAATTACTTTGCATCTTGTTTGAAATGAAGCATTTTAAAATTTATATCCTGTCCTACTTTCATTTCAAGAACTTACTTAAAATATCTTTTTTTCTCTTCGTCCTGCTCAGCTAT